TAAGCTTTATTGGGCTAACATGATGTATAATATTTTTCACCCTCATTTCACAAATATTTCGAAAAAAATTCAGGAATATCGTACTTACGACAGAAATATAAAAAATACAATGTGAAATAAGATTTCTTACAATAAGTTTATTATATATCATAATCGAAATTATGATGAATTGAAAAGATAATTTGAACACACAATTCCTGGCTAACGAACCCAGAAAAACACTTTTTTACTTAAGAAAATTTAAATTTTTCTAATGCAAAATCAAGATCCATTCTGTAATATAAAATTCTCTACTATATTTTTTCTATTTTTAGGTTACAGTGTCGTATTGCAAAAGTCTTTATTTTTATGTTGCTATACCAAATTATTATTGCTAGAATTGTATTTTATACTCTAATTAACAAGCTCCCGAATATAAATTTTTTAACGCAGTATTGTTCTTGCAATTAATATTATTGTAAAGCATGATTGATGCGTCTCCACCCTTAGCCTATAGGGCACACTTACACAAATTAGGCTCGTTGTTGTAATTATTGGTGATATCTATTTTTGGTGGCAAACCATTCTTATATTAACAATAACTCTATATATTGATCTACATATATGCAGATATAGCAAAAATCAAAAAGTATCTACACTAAATTTGATAGAATCAAAATTCCGCAGAAAAGTTACCTTGTTATACTAATCCTTATCATTTAATATAATCATATACTTACTTGTATGGAAAGGATTAATTTAGAAATGTGTTTACTTATATGATTAACATTTGTACGAAAAAATCTTGATTTTCTGATAAGCAGAATGAATTCCTCTAAAACCGTAAAATTTCAATATCAAATTTCATTCAACTTCACATTTTAATAATTTTAAACTCTCATGTCAAATTTTTTTAGCGAAAAGGTTAACATTTTCAAAATTTTTTCTTGTTTCTTTTTTTTAATAAGCAGAAAACATTGTATATAGGTACTTTTTTGTAAATATACAAAACATACTTAATAAAAAAAATGTCATTAATTTTTTCAGTTACACCTTCAGTTATTAAAAATTCTAAAACCTCATCAAATTACAATCTTAACATTATATACGCAAAACAGAAAAAAAACAGTACACTTAATAAATTTCATTAAAAAAAATTGTGTGTTTTTTATCCTTGAACTTGAAATTAAGTTTAATGAATCTTAAGTTTCATTATATTTTTTTTTTATTATTTTCTTTTAAATTAATTATTTATCTACCTGCTTTATATACTATCACATGTATATATCTGTGTAAATATAAGTAATATATAATTTTGTAATATAACAAGCCTTCATCTAATGACTTGTAATCTGTTTATTTCCTTTAGAACATCTATAAATAGCACTTTAATATTATTTTATTCCCCTACTATATGACATTTATACACATATGAAATTAATCCTCTAAATTATATTTTTCATGTTTTATACAGATTGTATGTTCGTACATACATATATACATGCATGTTATACATATAGCGTGTTAGTATTAGTTAGATATATATGTTTTATTTTGAACCACTCTGTATAACCTCTAATCTGTGACATTTTCCTTAATTTTATTTTATTTATATTTTTTTTCTGTTATTAGTGTTATAGCGAAGTTTAACTTGTTTGGATGTATATACGACACATATATGATTACAAGTGCTATCATATATCTTTTAATTTTATATGTAGAATGAAACATATACATACACATTCATTCTTATAGGTGTAAAGTCATAATTCTTTTTCTCTATTTTTTAATATCAAAAGTTTATTCTCTTTTCTAAAAGTATCTTTTCTAAACCAATTTTCCATTCTGGTAATCATTTCACTGTCATTTTTGTTACCTTCTTAATTAAAGTTATAAAAAACTTTTAATTTTTCATAACAGGTGACACACAAAAATACTTTATGACACTTGGAAATATAAACACAACAGAAAGAAAAGAAGAAACAAAAAATAAAATAATAAAAATTTTCCTGTTTCGGAAAAATTAAATAAAATGTGAGTGAAATGGAAAAAAAAATAGGGAAAATATCAAAAATATTGCAAATAAAAAATTACTACACACTTATGAAATAGAAGTCGTATAAAATAGTGAATAAAATGAAAAAATAAAGGAAGGATTTTTCGTTTTTTTTTTAACTTTTTGTTATATGGTGTCATTTAGATTTATAAATTGAGTAAAAAATTTTATTGTAGGTGCGCGAGTATGCGTTTTTTATTATTTTACTTTTTGTGATCAATTTGCGATCGCATATAAAATTTTACTTCTTTATTTTAGTGCGTTCTTTTCACAAGTTGTTTGTAATAAAATTCACTTATAAAGGAGAAAAGGTTAATTTTTCCCCATAGAAATGTGAAGTCCATGTACCAGAACATAAAATTCTACAATTACTTCCCTCAACCACTTCTTTGTATCGTCGACGTATAGTCGGAAGTACATAATTTGTCTAGATCTAGAGTATTATACACCCTTAAATGGAACGCCATACGACTCTTGTGTGTATATCCGTTTAAGTTCTAGTGAAATTGCAATTCGAAATGCGATTAATGTATAAAACATTATTCACCGGAAATAATTTCTTACAATTATTTGAAAAGAATTTGAAAAAATTTATCAAAATAAAATGACAGAAAATGGCATGAGTTTGTATGATTTTAATGAATGACATTAGATAATTTTATACTGTCATTCCAAATGTGAAAATGTCAACGGGACGAACATTTATTTTACTATCTTTGTAGAGTAGAAAAGTATACGATGATTATTTATATGTAAGAAATGCTATTTGTCTTAATAATAGTTACCTTTTGTCACAAAAATTTTATATTTTCGGAGACCTCATAAATAATTAAACATTCAGAATTTTTTGTATTTTACATTAGGTGCATGGAATTGTTAAGGTTCTTAATAATGTTCATTATTTGCTTTCAATACTTGCCATAAAATGGAATTTTTAGTTGCTTCACTTTTGCAATAAATTATTAATAATACAGTAATGAATATTATATTATTTAATCTTATTTATTTATGAATATATGCCAATTGTTCGAATAAAAGAATGAAAAATACTTCCCCTGAAAGGATATAAAGGGCAAATATTGCTATAATATTGTTACAAGAATATTATAAACTAATTTATAACAAACAAATAATTTAAATTACATTGTTTTGAAAACTTGGGACTTGTTGTTCTTCAAAACATATTTGATTTTGGTTAGACTTCGTTATCTATAAAAATTATCTAATATCTAATAAAAATTATAATTGAAGCGGTAAGTGGACAAAGGGGTTAATTTACATTTTCATTTTAACACTTTTTTTCATTAACAAATTGTAAAAATATTAATTTTCTTGTTACTTAACTTCTATGTGCACTGTCAATCTCGTCTTCTATTAAGTTTCTAGTTATAACAGTAATCACAGTTGAAAGTATATGAAATTTAATGATTTTCCATCCGAGCTGCTCGATTTACGTCAAAATGTTAGTTAAACCCTTTTTTACACTTACCTCTTTAATTGTTAGTAAAAGAAATTCCTTTATTTTGACACATTGTTAAAATAAAGATGGGCCAAAGCTGTGGTCTGTAAAAAAGCACTTCTCGTTTAAACAAGTGAAAATACTGCTTTCAAAAACAATCAATTATACTATCAAAGATTGCATACATCATAATATTTCAAAGATTGCATACATTTAGGATGAAACAAAACAGAAATTGAAAGAGGTGGTAATATAATGCTCGAATCCAAGGGTTAATTGCGTGAGTTAAGAAAAATAATTATATTTTTTTAATGACATACCATTCACCGTTAGCTTTTTGCATTTATAGAAATTTGGAAAAGCTTGCAATTTCAGAAAAATAAGGTACAGAGAATTTGAATTTTGCAAATTTCGAGATGCGATAGCCCGAGAGGGAGTGTAGGCCAAAAAATTTCTTGTAACGAAATATATTATTTGCCATTTTTTAATAGCTGATTGCTACAACTTCTATATTTCTATAAGTTTTAAAACTTACGGTTTAAAACACTTTCAAAGAATTTTACAAACTTTTTCAACGAAATTTACAAATGAATCTCATAAAATAACATTTTCTGGAGCTTGAAGCTGGGTATACGTGTGACAAATGAAAAAATAACAAAAGTTTCAGTTGAAAATCTTCTTAATTTTTTTGATCTTGACTTCTCCAATTTTTCGGATAATAGCTAAATAAGATTAGTCTGTATACCGTTAATTATTTTAAATCTCTTTTTGTGATTCTGGAATGGTGCCTTTAAACTGTTATTTTTATTCACCATTACTGTAAAACTCTACCCAGAGTACTTTATTTTAAAAAATTTTGTTGCTTTTTTTTCTTATTTTATGTTTTATAAGTGTCAAATTGAATTTTCATTTAACTAAGTAAAATTTATTCAAACATACCTTTTTTTCTTGTTTTATTTTGTCCTTTTTTGTACTTTACTTTTATACTCCCAACTCACTATAGACATTATTCATTAAAACTTATATAATAAAATACTTTTTTTATAATACCCAAGTATCGTCAGTGTGGCGTTGTTATAACTGTTTTATAACGATTATTATTTTTTTTTTTCTTTTAGAAGAAAAACCAACGACGTGTTTAGTTAATAATTTTCTCGTGACATAAAACTGTTATGACAATGAAACACTTTTGTTTTTTGCTCATTTTTGTTTTGTGGTTTTTATTTTAATTTTAATACATATGTATGTACACGCATTCAATTACGTACAGACAGAACATAATAATATTATATAGGTAGTTAAAATATACATTTTAACTTTTATAACACGACATGTAAGTACTTATCTGACTTAACTGTAAAATCCCCATATAAGTCTACTTTTATATTTATTATACAAACATAAATGTGTGTAACATGCATACAACCTATAGTACATGTTATATGCATAAAGAAAAGAATAATGAGAACAAATTCTAACTGTAATTGAACTTATTTAATTTAACAGGTTTGACTGTGGGTCTGGAGTTGGTAGTGTACGTTCAAAAGAGATTGTTGAATTGAATCAATGGAACACCGTTATAATTTATCGTCATCGTTGGGATGCCTGGCTGATGCTTAATCACGGTCAACGTGTTCAGGGGCGTTCAAAGGTAAGTGAATTAAAAATTAATAATAATAATAAGAGAAAAAAATAAAGAGAAGACTAAAAGTAAAACAAATACTACTTGTATAAAATAATAATAACAGAGTTGAAAAGTTTTGTTTTTTTTTGATTTTTTCATTTTTGTATGAAAGGATATTTGAAAGAAAAATGAAAAAAATATTAGATACTGTTCCTTCATTCATATATAAAATAGAAGGGGTGGAGCATGTTCTGTATATTCGATATTAAATATCTTTTTTCTTGTTTTATTTTTATTTGTCGTACACATAAGAGACATGAAAATGTGAAAAGAGTGTTGATTCAATTAAGCAACAGCATTGTCATTTGATTAAATTAATGTTTATGAAACTTATTTTCTAAGTAATTATGTAAATTTTTAAATAATTTAAGTGGTATGATAGAAAAAATGGCTGAGGTTGATAACATTTTATACATTTTTATTTTTATATTACAGAAAAAAGGCGAAAATTATTAGGATGTGTCAAATATTTTTTGATTTTTTTTAAATGGTTATTACAATATGATAATGCAAAAATCAGGTATAAGACTAGACTTGGTAATTGCGATTATTTAGATTTCTAATGCAAATTCAGAAACTGTTCTCTGACAATATGATGTTTAAGGTTTATCAACTTTTCTTTCGCTTTATAATACTTTTTATGGTGGTGGAAATCTAATAAAGGTTTTTTTCACAATCACCATCATACATATGCAAATTTATGTACGTAAAAGAGTTGGGCACCGGTTTTTTCTGCGTTTTTTCTAAAATGGATTTATTTATGAGAGAAACTATATGCGGAACACAATGCCTACCAATTATTTTAGTGCATTTTTAAATTGGATGCTGTTTTAATTTTAGTTTTATTTTTATTATTTTTGACCATTAAAGAGTGGGACATAAGCAATGTAGTTTAAATACGAGCTTTATTATATTTTATTCCAAACTGTATAAGAGAACAGAAAAACTCCCATGGAAATAGAAAAAAAGTTTCAGTTAATTTCCTCAATAAAAATATTATTCGCAATTAAATTTTTTATTCCTAATACACTAATTTTAGCTATAATTGTTGAAAAATTAACCCAAAAAACTTATCCTATTTCTAATCTCTATTTTCTAATATTTCTTTTGATTATGAATAAAAAATTATATTGTTTTCTTTTATAAATAAATCTTTTTTTTTTCTTAAGTCAAAATATTTCAATCTAGGAATTTCTATCAGAACATGATTTTTTCTTTTCACTTATATGAATATAACTAGTATGAACAATCGAATTTGAAATAGAGAAATGAATAAATGAATGAAAAAATTAATTTTTTTTTCTTAAATCAGAAAAAGCTTAAACTAATGCCATCAAGTTCAGAGAGTAAATGAACAATAAATTCCAAATTATTTATGGAGTTTAAATTGAAGGTGTGTCGGAATTTATTTGTGTGAAGGAATTTGATCAATATTTTTGGCTGTACTAACTCTACATATTTTTCGATTAAAATTTAAATTTCAAAAAAATTTAAAATTTAAATTTCAAAAAAATCGATTGGTAAATTCCATCTGAAAAATGCATATAAAAAAAAAATTGTAATTTTTAGCGCAGATAACCTTTCTTGTCTTCCAAATGGAAGGGTACTGAATTACAGATATAAATTGAAGAAAAAAGCCACAAAATAATTATTATAATCAAGGTGGCTTTTAAAACTATACTAAATAAAATGAAAATCGTAAAGAATACTCAAAAATTTCACAAAAAAATAAAAAATATTTCAATCGGCATACTTCGAAAACATAAAATATTAAGAATTGTTTTTGTATTTCTTTCCGATTCAAATTTTCGTAAAATATTTTCAGCTTGATAGAAACATATAGCATTGCTTAAACATTTAAGTATAAGTATTACACTGCATTCATAACTTTTTTTACCAAAAATATAGTTATCATTTTCTGATAGGAAACCTTAGTAATAATTTAAGCCCTTAAGTTTTGAAAGTTTGAAAGTTTTTCCACGCAAAAGCGTTTACCTTAAGTTACTTATTTTATTTTCATTTTAAAAATTTTACAAAAATTTTTTTACTGTGTACAATATTTTTATCATAATAGCAATATTTTGGGTTAATTTACTAAATTTTCCCTCTCAAAATAACATTTATTATTTTCCGAATAAATTTCGAATTTTTTTTTACACTTGAATTAATTGCCGTTTATTCAATTTTTTATCATGCTCTTTTTGAACACTATTTTTTCCCATAATTGCATATATTCCGGAGTTTGATTTATTAATTCTGATATTGTTGAATTTTATTGTTCGTTTTTATATAAAAATATATTCCATTTGATTTTTTTATTTTATTTTATTACTAAATTTCTTATTCAGTTCCATAATTACCATTTCAAACGATATTATGTAAATGAGAATTTTAATAAATGTGTAGGATCAAAATTGTTACCCGGACATAGTAAATATGTATGTACAATGTAAATGTATATTATACATGCACACACTTGAATCTTGTAAAATAGGTCCCATATATATGCACAGTATTAGGGGGGGTAATAAAAAATAAATCATTCATGTGAATTTTTTTTTATGTACGTTTGATATGAAAATAATAAAATAATTTAATTCAAATAAATATTTTTAAGGTTACAAATTCTTAATAAACTGATAAAAAAAAAGAAAAAGAAAAATATCTGCAGAAAAACATTTCAAAGTCCTTTAATAATGAGAAAAGGAACTAAGAAAAATAATATAAGAATAAATAACCCAAAAGCGACAAAAGAAAATAAGGAACGAAAGATTTTCGTATTTTTTGTTTATTTTTTTGTTTTTTCTTTTCTTTGTATTTTCGATATGTTATTTGTGTTATTTTTGTTACCATTAGTTCATGGCCTGTTTCAATTAGAATAATGTTATGCTGGTTGAACATTAACCGCCTCAAGCGTATCAATTCTTGTAAAAAAAAATTTTTGTTCTTATTTTTTTATGGAAACTGATAAAATATTGATATAGAGTTTGAAAATTTCAAGTACAGAGCAAGAGTAAGAGAAGAAAAAATCTGAATTTTCTTTTCTTTATATTAAAAATAATGAAGCGATAGTACATGAAAGAAAATTTGTTAAAAAAAAAAGGAAAGAAAATAATAGAAAAAACAAACCCTCAAAAAAAAAAACACACATACACAGATTACAATGTGATAAGAGAGGAGCATAATATAATAGTGAGGATATGGAGAGGAGTTGTTGGAACCGATATGGTTTATGATAAGAATTTAAGTTTAACGGGAAAGCAATAAATCATTGAACTTTAAATCCGCCACTAATCTCTTTTCGAACATCATTTTTATTCTACATAAGTATAGCCTGTTCGTTATTTTTTTTTTGTTTATTTTTTTTATAGAAGAAAATCTTTCGAAATGCCGTAAGGCCTCCAAAAAAATAAAAAGAAAATTATTTCTTTTTTTTTCTTCTAGTTTGCTTTTTTTTGTTTTGTTACTTTTATTGAAGATATCCGTCATCTGGAGCATAAAAATCTTACAATTTTCTCATTTCTTAATACTTTGTTTTGAGACAATTTTTCCAAAAAGAATATTTTATGAAAAAATTTGCTTTTTATTTTAAGTTCACGTGCGTCCAATCAGTCGACGAATTATTAGAAAAGAATTTTTTTTTTTGATATTTTTGAAAAAATATTTTGGTTTTTAACAATTGCTGTAGGCTTCCGAATTGCCGCCGAATTCCGTAACTTTTATGTATTATTAAACTCATTTTCGAAAGTTCAGTTGATTTCTTAATCGATTCGAAATAAACGTAGGTGTCAAAACTGAAAATTAGAAATACAATTTTTAATAAGTATAAAAATTCAAAATAATAATTTGAGTTCTTATCCTTATTCATACCCGATTTAGTAATTTTTTAAGATTTTCGACAAATTCCTGAAAAAATTTTCTGCATAGTTGCTATGGGAAAATGAATGTTGCTTAAAGTTTTTAGAATATCGAAATTTTCCAGGAATATTACAAAGAACTTTAGAAGAAATTTGTTTTGTACTCCTAAAATGATTGGGGACACATTCGATTGCAGCAAATTTTAAATTTGGCTAAAATTTGGGTTTGCCTCTTGCGTTTTTCTATGCAAAATTTGTAATTTGTAATATTCTCACGTTCATTCTGTATTAGATTATTTTTATTATTTTTTATAAGCCTATAATTTTTTACTAACTTCAATCAATGTTTTTTCGTCAAAATCAATGTTTTTTGTCATTTACTTAATGGTTCATTTACTTCTATATTAGAAAATGGCGATTTTTTTCGCTTCTTATTCCTTTTAATGTTTAAAAACGTATCGATATTTTATGTGCACTCTTCATTTTTAAAAATTTTGTCATATTGCTACAGCACTTGTGTATCCAAACTTATAATGAAAAAATGCTGAATTAATAAAGATCAAATTTTTGAAGGGTAATAGTTTTCTTACCACGTTTCTTTCAAACTTTTACTTAACTTTGAATAAAAACAAATAAATTACATGATTGTGTTGACTGGTTTTGCTTTACATGTTTTTTCTTTAATGGTTTTCTTTACAAATACGAAAATATGAAAAGGAAATCAATTTTTATTTCCTTTCCAGGTTTATTCCCCACTACTGTCAATCATTGACAAAAAAAATATTAAAAGAAAAAACAAAATTTTATTTAAATTTCTAAGGAAAATGGCAGAAATTGTGAGAATCTTCTTACAATCGTGTTCATTCTGTATAAATTGAAGCAGCAAAAAGCAAAAAAAAAAATATTTTTATAAAAATAATTCTTCCAAGGATGAATAGAAAAAAAAATTATTCACAATCAATTTCGAATGCTGATGCAATGCGATTTAATTAGTTCTTCCGGTATAGCAAAAGCTTACAATATTAATGAGTTTTTGGCTCTTTAAAAGAGTTGCACCTTAATTTTCCGTTTTAGAATATTGTTTACACAATAGTAAGTGGTGAAAAAAAG